TCCCAGGAATTCCCAGGAATTCCCATTCAATCCTTCCCATTTTTCCCCAGGTTCCACGTGGACAAACTCTCCTCTGCCCACGTCTACCTGAGGCTGCACAAGGTAAATCCTGGGAAAAAAAAAAATCGGGATATTCCCTGGGAAAATCCAGACATCCCATGGGAAAAAAATGCCAGGAAAAAATGGGATATCCCCTGGGAAAACCTCGGGAAAATTGGGATGTCCCTTGGGAAACACAGGAAAAATTGGGGAAAAATCCCAGAAAATTGAGATGTCTCTTGGGAAAATTGGGAAAAAAAACCTCAGGAAAATCGGGATATTTCTTAGGAAAATTGGGAAAAATCTCAAGAAAAGTGGGATATCATCTGGGAAATATCAGGAAAATTGGGAAAAACCTCGGGAAAATTGGGATATCCCATGGGAAACCTCAGGAAAACTGGGAAAAATCTTGGGAAAATTGGGATATTCCCTGGGAAACCTCGGGAAAATTGGGAAAAACTTTGGGAAAATCAAGATATTCCCTGGAAAACCTGGGGAAAATTAGGAAAAACCTCGAGAAATTGAGGAAAACTTTGGGAATAGTGGGATATCCTTGGGAAAAACCTTGGGACAAGTGGAATATTCCCCAGGAAAATCAGGAAATCCCCTGGGAAACCTGAGGAAATTTGGGAAAAATCTTGGGAAAATTGGGATATCCCATGGGAAACCTGAGGAAAATTAGGAAAAATCTTGGGAAAATCAAGATATTCTCTGGGAAACCTGGGGAAAAGTGGGAAAAATCTTGGGAAAATTGGGATATTCTCTGGGAAACCTCGGGAAAATTGGGAAAAACTTTGGGAAAAGCTGGGCTATGCCCTGGGAATTCCAGGTAATCCCGAATCCCTGGAATTCCTGTGCAGGGCCAGACCATGGATGACATTCCCAAGGAAGTGCTGAGTGACTGTGCACACCTGGTGAAGGCCAACAGCATCCAAGGTATCCCCAAATCCCCCCAAAAAATCCCTGGGAAATCCTTGGGAATGGTGGAAAATCCCAGGAAATCATCCTGGGAAAGGGTTGGGAAATCCTTGGGAATTCATCTTGGGGGATGGTGGGAAAGGATCCTGAAAATTCCTTGGAAATCCCCTGGGAAATCCTAAAAATTCCTGAGAAAATCGTGGGGAATCCCTGAGGAATCCTGGGAAATTCCTGGGAAATCATCCTAAAAATTCCTGGGAAATCCTTGAGGAAAATCCTGGGAAAAATCCCTGGGTAATTCTGGGAAATCCTGAGAAAATCCTGGAAATTCTGGGAAATCACCCAGGAAATTCTTGGGAAATCATCTTAGGAATTCTTGGGAAAATTCTGGGAAATCCCTGGGAGAATCCTGGAGAATCTTGGGAAAATCCCTGGGGAATCCTGGGAAAATCCCTGGGGAATGCTGGGAAATCATCTTAGGAATTCCTGGGGAAATTCCTGGGGAATTCCTGGGAAAGGGCTGGGATCTGTTCATGAATCCCAGAAAATCCCTGGGAAAGGGTCGAGATCTGTGCCAGAATTCCCACTTTTCCCACTTTTTCCCTCCCCATTTTTCCCATTTTATTTCCCACATTTTTCCTCCTTTTCCTCCATTTTTCCCCTCCATCTTTCCCATTTTCCCACTTTCCCCCCCATTTTTCCCTTTTTTTCCACTTCTTCCCCATTTTTCCTGT